GCTGGACCGTTGAAGGAGCTAACTGGAATCAATGTCGGGACAGTTTATGGGGTCTCCGGCGATGTATTCTGAAGCTGACCGTAATCAATGTCGGGACAGTTTATGGGGTCATTACATCGGTCCGACATGACCCCATAAACTGTCTTCTACATCGGTCCGACATGACCCCATAAACTGTCTTCTACATCGGTCTGACACCGCCATCCAGTGTCCTCTACAACGTTATGACACCCCCATACAGTGTCCTCTACAACGTTATGACACCACCATCCAGTGTCTTCACCAATGGTCTGACACGACCATACAGTGTCTCCTATCCTCTTTTATTTTTATGTATTTTCTTGTTTTGTTACTCTCTCCAAACTCAAGTTGGTTAGTTCCTATCCCCCTTGAGTTTGCGGGGGCTGTTAAAATTCACCTACTACACACCTACCACTACCACCTACTACACACTCACCTACTCTCCACCTACTCCTCACCTACTCCATACCTACTACACACTCACCTATTCTCTTCCCACATCCTCTCTTCTATATATAGGAATCATTGTAATCAATCAATATATCAATCAATTCATCAATCAATAATACAATTCTCTATTTCTCAATTCTCTATTTCTCTTTATACATTAAATTTCTACAGGCTGTTAATCAGGACATGTTATAAAATATCCATGATTATTTTATTTTTATTTTTTTGATAGTAGTGTTGTAGTGGGTTAGGTTTAGTGGAGTAGGTTTAAGTGGGTGAAGTAGGTGATAGGTTTTAACAGAACATAATGGATACTTCATATGTTGGATGCTCAATTGTTCTATTGGCTGTTAATCAGGACATGTTATAAAATATCCATGATTATTTTATTTTTATTTTTTTGATAAATAATAAAATATCCATGATTGTTGTGATATGTTCATCAATAAATCATTATTTCCAGACCTTGATGTATTGATATTATCCATATTATTTATAATATTTATCAGGTTGATATCAATATTTTGGATAAAGCCTTATTTTTGGAGTTGTGATATATCCTTCCTACAAATATTTATTCATTGAACAGGAGCAAAACAAGGACTTCTTATCAGGGGAGGAGATGTATTGGAACGCTTGGCTGGCGTAGATTTGGTCGCTTTAGACAAGGTAGATCAAAATTTGAATAGAATTATTTGTTCTCTCTTTCATGTGAAATAAAGTTTTGAAAATCTGAAAGATATGTTAATTAGTTAGTGCATTAACTCTGATCATTTGAGAATAATCATTCCACCCCTGCAGACTGGCACCCTCACAGAAGGTAAACCTTCTGTTTCTGCTTTGGCAACTTTGGTTCACGAAGAATTAGAAATTCTTCAAATTGCTGCTGCAGTTGAGAGAACAGCATCACATCCAATCGCAAAGGCTATTGTAACTAAAGCGGAGTCATTAAATTTGAATATCCCAATTACGAAAGGACAATTAACAGAACCAGGTTTTGGATCATTAGCAGAAGTAGATGGACGTTTGGTTGCAGTTGGCACTTTGCAATGGGCTTGTGACCGTTTCCAACAAAAAGTGGACCTGTCTGACATAATGAGTCTGGAACAGGCTTTGATGCATCAATTATCTGATGGAAAATCATCATCAGACTATTCAAAAACGCTTGTTTATGTTGGTTGTGAAGGGGAGGGCATCGTTGGTGCTATTGCAATATCCGATCATTTACGCGATGATGCTATATCTACCATAAACAGGTATCATCTTCTTTCATATAATAATATAATGCTGAAAAACATATCCTGCTAACAAGTAACCTCTCTTTTATCTTATTCAGATACTAATGTAGGAGTAGGACTTTAGGTCTAAAGGAGAGTTTATTGATGACTGTTTTTCAAGTTATACTTGGGCTCTATTTATATCCTCGGGCAATTTGAGGTGGAATCTGATCATGTCTGCTGACATAATTTCTACATGTTAGTATCATCCGTACTATCCCTCCTTTTGGGGAAAAAAATAGGTAAAATGTTAAGGGTTAGGGGTAGTTTGGTCTTTATGTCTTATTCTTATTATTATAAATAGTTGTTGTAACCGTGAAAGAATAACCGGAAGGACCGGCCGAACCGACCGAACCGAACGGTTTTCAGTCGGTGTTTTAAGTTTTCAATCGTTCGGTTCGGTTCGGTTAATGTTTTTCTGTACATTCGGTTCGGTTTACGGTTTTTGATTTTTTGAACCGAACCGCACCGAACCTTTTTGAACCGAACCGAACCGAACCGACTTATATAATATTAATAGGCCCAAAATGTGAGGCCCCAAACCTATGTAGGAATTACATGGCCTGAGTCCAAATTTTATGCCAAATGGATAAAAATATAGGCCCAAAATATGAGGCCCAACTAGGGAAAAAAAGGGCCAAAAAATCGAAAAACCGAAAAAACCGCACCGCACTGTAATAAACCGAACCGCGCAGGTTTATGTTATTTTTTTGGGCAGTTCGGTTCACAAATATGAAAAACCGAAATGATCGGTTCGGTGCAAAACTAGTGAAAAAACCGACCGAACCGATCCGATCCGATCCGATTTCACCCCTAGTTGTAAGGGGGAAACCGATGTTTTTGAATCAATATTATATACAGCAGCCATTTCTCTCTCTCATTCTACAACTTCTTTTTCTCATCTATACAATCTTCCTCCTTGAAGATTGTTCCTTTCATTCTTCCCTCATTGTTTCTTGTATCCTGGTACATGTTTTAAAAAATAAAATAAAAAATATCATGCTCGAAATCAAATGGTATGTACCCTATAATCTTCTTTTGATTTTTTGCTTATTATTGATTGTTTTTTCCTTTTTTTTTTTGTGTTTTGATTTTTCATCCAAAACTGGGGTGCTTTTTTCTAAGTCTTGTTTGAGCTCTTTTCGGTTGGTTTTTCTCTTTCCTCACATCTTGGGGGGGGGGGGGGGCGGGGGTGGGGGGGGGGAAAAAGAATAGGGGCCTTTGTCAGCGAATCCTTCCGCGCCCGCACCCTCTACTCGCCCCGCCCCTTATAGGGGTGGAGGGACAATCGGGTGAGTTATGTTAGTCGGTTAGGTGTTGTGTATGTTCAAAAAAACCCCGCCTCCGCTGAACGGACGAAAAACAAACGGGGTGGGGGGGGGGGGGGGGGGTGGTGTTTTACTTTTTATTTTATTTCGGGTGGTGTGGTGGGGGGTTTGTTGTTTATCGAGTTATGAGGGGGTTGCTCCGCTCCCCCCTCCTATTTTTTATTGCCCTGAAGATCTTGAAAAATAGGTTCACTCGGGAATAGTCTACGGGATATGAACGCGGCGGCTATTCTAGTAGATAGAAACATGATGGGGGGGGGGGGGAATTATTTTGGTCCTAGACGCCGTTTTGATGTATTTTGGCCTTACCTTGGATTTTTTCTGAGTTTTGGATGGTCTGCTTCGGTTTTCGGGATCCTAGTTGATCTGGTTGCTTTGTTCTGGGATTGTCTTGCATTGTTTTAGCCTTAGAAGGTGAGTTGTTGTGCTGGTTAGGTGTTTTCAGGACTTGTTTGATATCCTACTTACTTGTGTTTCTGCACCATCTCTCTCTCATCTCATGGCTGAAAGTGAGGGTCAAGACTCTAAGGGCAAAGAGAAGAGTGGACTGTGTCATGGTATGACTCTTGGTAATAGTTTGACTCTTGGTGATAGTCCTTCTCTCTAGATTAGTCCGGTCAAGGTTAATGGTACCAATTACTTGATTTGGTCTCGCTCCTGCAGTCTTGCCATTGCCACTTGGCATTTGACTGGCTATATTACTAGTAGTACCAAGCAACTTACTGAGGATAGTGCTTTATTTGTTCAATGGATTTCTGAGAATGCTTTAGTTATGACCTGACTAATCAATTCTATGGAGCCTACCATTAGTCGGACTTTTCTCTTGATGGATACTGTTCACAAGATCTGGATAGCCGCATCTCAAATGTATTCTCAAAAGGGTAATGATGCATAGGCCTATGAATTGAGAAAGAAGATTAGGAGCTTGGATCAAAAGGATTGTTCTCTTGCAATCTACTATGCTGAGTTGAGTGGTTTATGGCAAAAGCTAGATTACTACTAGAATTTTCAGCCAGTTTGCTCCACGAATGCCACTATGTTTCAGTAGGTTGTGGAGAAGGAGTGGGTGTATGACTTTCTTACTGGCCTGAATTTGAAGTATGATCAGATATGGATTCAAGTGTTGGGTCGCTCTCCGTTTCCCACATTGTGTGAAGCTTATGCCCTGGTTCAATAGGAGGAGAGTTGTCGTAGTGCTATGGGGCATATCCCTATTCAGGATCAATCAGCGATGGTTGTAGCCCCAAAGTCACACAATACTCAGCCTAGTTTGCCTCAGGGTGGTGGTAAGGGTCCCTTGGTTGATCGGGACCGATTGAAGTGTGATTATTGTGGGAAAGATAGATATGATAAAGAGCACTGTTGGAAGTTGCATGGTTAGCCTACTCGAGGCTGTGGTCATGGTGGTGGTGCTCGTCCTCAAGCACATGTTTCTAAGACTATTGCTAGCGCCTCAGGTGACACTGGTTCTATTTCCCAGGATGAGCTTCACACTCTTAGAGATTTGATGGCTCGACTTGATTCTTCCTCTATCTTAGCTCCTTCCTCTTCCAACTTTGCCCACACAAGTATTTCTACTAGTGCACTTAGTACCTCTTCATCATCTCCTTGGGTCATTGATTCCAATGCTACTGATCACATGACAAGTACTTCTAGTCTTTTCCATTCTTATTCACCTGGTTCTAGACGAGATAAGGTTAGAGTGGCTGATGACACTTTATCCTCCTATCTCTGGCAAGGGTTCAATTCATTGCACCTCTTTACTCTCTCTTTCATTTGTTCATCATGTTCCTAATTTTTCCACTAACTTATTTTTTGTTAGTAGCATTACTACTGCTCTCAATTGCTCTGTAACCTTTTTTTCGACTCATTGTGTCTTTCAGGAACTACCTACGGGGAAAATTATTGGCAATGGTAGAGCACAAGTTGGACTGTGCTTTTTGGATGTTGTTCCTCATGCATCAACTTTGTCCTCTCAGGCTCTTCCTTGCACTTCCGGCTCCTTTCTTCGTCTTCTTCATCAATGGCATTGTCGTTTGGGGCATCATTCCTTTAGTATTTTAGCGAAACTTTTTCCTTAATTAGTTTGAGATTGTCCTAGGAATAACTTTGTTTGTGATGCTTGTGAGCTTGTTTAGCATAAACGTACTTATCCTTCAATTAATAGAAGTGCTTTTCCTTTTATGCTTATTCATACCAATGTGTGGGGTCCTTCCGCTGTGGTTTCTATCTCTGGTTGGTGTGTCACATTTATTGATTGTTATTCCTGTATGACTTGGATTTATTTATTTCAAACTAAAAATGAGGTTCTCTCGTGCTTCAAAAATTTTCATAAAATGGTGTCCAATCTCTTCAATGCTACACTAGCAAAATTCTTCAGAGTGATAATGGGATTGAATATGTTAATGGAGCTTTCAGGGCATACCTCGAGGAGCATGACATTCTTTATCAAACTAGTTGTGTTGGCACTCATGAGCAGAATGGAGTTGCTGTACGCACGAATGGTCACCTCCTTGAAGTTGTTCGCTCTCTCTTGTTTACCATGAAAGTTCCTAAGCCTTTTTGGGGGGATGAGGTTCTTACCGCTACTTACCTTACTAACCGTATGCCCTCTAGTGTCCTCAACTTCCAAATTCCTCTTGAACTTCTTCCTGTGACTTATCCCACTTTTTCCCTTATGCCTTGGGTTTTTAATAGTGTCTGTTTTATTCATCTTCAACCTCGTACTCGGGAGAAACTTGATCCTAAGGCTGTCTGGTGTGCCTTTCTTGGTTATTCTACTACTCAGAAGGGCTACAAATGCTATGACCCTCACACTCGTAAGCTTTATGTTAGTATAGATGTCACCTTTTATGAATATGAGTTTTTTTTTCTTCTCCTCCGCTATCTCCTCGGGGGGAGAGTGTTATGGATGAGATTGCGGATGAGGCGGCATCATATCAGTATGAGTTGTCTTTTTTCCTTCCTAATCAGCGGATTGTTGTTTGTGGTGAGGAGGAGCCTAAGAAATCTGTTGATGAGGAGTCTGATATCGGTGGTCATTTGGACAGAGTTGATCTTAAGACTTATTCACGGTATTAGAAAGAGCAGACTTCTCTTGTGCCACTAGGTCAATCATGCCAGTTCTACACCCAGTTTCCACTGACTCTACAAGTAATGATCCTCAGCCTATTTCTTCACCAGTTGTTGATAGTCTTGTGTCTCCTTCACCAATTGTTGATAACCTTGTTGATGATTTGAATATTCCTATTGCTTTTAAAAGGGGGGTTCGAACCTGTACTCAACACCCTATTTCTTAATTTGTGTCATATGATTCGCTGTCTTCTACATATCGTGCCTTTGACTTAGAAAATATGAAGAAGAACAGTTGTTGATAGTCTTGTGTCTCCTTCACCAATTGTTGATAACCTTGTTGATGATTTGAATATTCCTATTGCTTTTAAAAGGGGGGTTCGAACCTGTACTCAACACCCTATTTCTTAATTTGTGTCATATGATTCGCATGAACACAATTTCCAGCACTTTGTTTCGTCTCTTTCTTTTGTATGTATTCCGTAGGGTTGGAAAGAAGCTATCAATGATCCTAAGTGGAAGGTAGCTATGGTAGAAGGAATGCAAACTTTGAGTAAAAATAACACTTGGAGTTGGAAT